AGTGGTGAAAAGAAAGGTGAAACGGACAGTGAACCTGCAAGTGTAACGGAATGGCAGGATTCCGGTGCTATTTGGACCAAAAAAGGTCGCCTTCTTTGTCAACTGTTTTAATCTAATTTCCATGCCTTGAGGTCTTTCAGGCCTGCCTCGAAGCCTGCCCTTGTTCTAATTTCCATGGTCTCCCGATACTGAGTTCGAGGCTTGCATTGAAGCCTGCCTCTAACTTTGTTTCATCCTATGAATTTTTTGTTTTCCTGCAATTTTCCGTACCCTTGAAGCTTCGAGGCTTGCCTTGAGGCCGTCTCTTCGCCAGCTGCGGCCTGAAATTCCAGCGAAGGCAGCACAGTCACAACTCTTTCAATTTCAGCCTTGCTGGGACTTGAACAACAGTATTTTTCTGTTTCGAGTGTTCTTGCTCAGTAAAATGCTGGCAGTCTGGCCCTGCGGCCTTTTCTTTGTCTGGGCCGGCAGTGCCGTCCTGTCTTGGGACGGCACTGTTTTCGCAACCGTGTTTCTGATTCTCACAGTTGCTAGCTTCTCCCAGCTCTTCATTCGTTTATGTATTTCTCGGAGACGCGGTGGGCTTAACCCCACGTGTCTGGAAGCATTCGCCTGGATTTGTGTCGTTTTTGTTTAATGTGGCTCCGTTTTGTGTTGTTTCGCTGTTTTCTCTGCTGGCGAAACGCAAAGCTGGCCGGATTTCCGGGTCGTCGCTGTTGCCTTTCTTGTTGTTTTGGTGTTTCATAATGTGTCTCGGTTGTGAAGCCAAAGAGTTTCATATATTTTGCACACTTTTCTACCGCTTCACTGTCAGGACCGAGCCTTAGAGCGACATCGGCCGCAACAGAGGAAAAAAAAAATATAGTTTCGGAATCTTCGTCGTTTCGAATCTTCGTGACCTCGCTCCTCGGCCAGGTCTCGCGTTCCTCGAAGCGCCTCGATCGCTTGGAAATACCTCTGGACACCGTTAGGGCTGCATGCGCACCTCCTCGGCCCCTGCTGCTTTCTTCTCTCCTGTGCTTATCTTTTGGAGGTTGGCTTGTCCTTGAATTGTTTGTTGTTTGTTTGTCTTGGCTGTGTGACTGTCCCTCTGGCTCGTCTGCCTTGTTCTGTAAGGGGAGTGGAAATAGCCGAACACTGGCGCGATCCAGTGGATTGTGTGTTGGAGCGCCCGTGAGCAGCGAGTTTCTTTTTTTCGGATTAGATGGTACACTCGTTGGGTGAGTGGAATTTGTTCTGGATTCCAAGGCTGAACCCCTTGGTTGCTACGTTGCAATGCACTGCAGGTGTTGTGCTGAGATGAAGACACTCGGGAAGCACCTGAACAGTTCTGCAGATATTTTTCAGCTTGGCGCCCTATGACAGTGCACGTTTGAGAAATTGCTTTACAGTTGCGGCCGCAGGCCGTTGGCTGCACAATGTTTTGCTGACTTTGCATGTTGTGCCAGGAATGTTCTCCCTTTCGACCTGGCACGGGATTCATGTCTACCCAGAGACGAACTTTGTGAGTGGCGGACCACGACTGGTCACCTAGCTGGCCATATGTGTCCGTCTTTGCCACAGCCACGGAGCTGCTCCCCGCAGGGGGGGCGGCAGAATAGCAATCTGGCCGCCAACAATACACTCTCCCTGCTCATGAATACACCGTTCGGTACACGGCAATTTCTTTTAGTCTTGGACTGAACACCTGAACAAGAAGTTGTGAGCGGACTCTGAGAGGCTAAGTGACGCAATAGTGTACAGCTAATGCATTCTTTTGTTGTCTGTCAGCAGCAACAATTAAGAACGCGTGTTGCTGCGTCTCACTTTAGTGATGAGCCTTTATAAAACCTGCTCACAGGTGGGGAGCCACCGTCCTCTTCCTTACGCGTGCTGCGTCCTCTCCTCCGCGTTCTATGTCTAAGTTTCTGGAAGATTGACTTCTGAAACCTCCGTTTTAAACAACTTAAATCTTCTGTGGTTTGAAGTTGTTTTTTGAAATGTGCGGTCTTGAACTTTGTAACATGTCCAATTTCAGTGTGCTGTGAATTTATTCATTTGGAATGTTATGACAAGTTGTTCACCGCGTTTTTCAAATTTCAAGGGAGGGTGGGTGGGATAAAAGTTCTCACTACCCGGAGTTCAAATGGGGGTAGTGAGTTTCGTATGCTGTTTGCTGGCAATGGATCTCCTGATACATGCTTCTGCTTTTCGGTTGGGCGTTAAGAAGTCTGGAATCAAGTTGCCGTGGGAGAAAGAGCCTTTGAACCCCGTTTTTGCAAAAAGGGCTAGGTTGATACCACCACCTGTCTATGTGCCGGAGCTCACATCGCAAGAACAGAAGGTGGACATCCCACGTGCTGAAACTGAAGGCCAGATAAGATGGTCGCGGAAGACCTCTTTGATCCCTTGGCCAATTGCTCAAGATCGAGCTCTTGCAAGGGCGCTGGAAGCATGGAGAATCATCCTCATGGACAATTTGCAGGGATCCATGGTTGGCAAACAAATTGAAGATGCACTTGCTGGAGACCCTCAGTCACCGTCAGTTGAGAAGACCATTTCAGATGTACTCTCTGGCAAATCAATTTCGACCTTAAGGGCAAGGTCTTCGTCGTTGCTGACTTATGGTAGATGGAGAAAAGGTTTAACTCCAGATGCGCCGATTTTTCCAATTTCGGAAGTGCAGGCATATGCATATGTGCGTGAACTCAGGGAACACAATGCACCTCGTACCAGGGCGACGAGATTCCTGGAAGCTGTTTCCTTTGCACACCATTTGCTAGGAGCCGACGTTGGGAACACCTTGAAGTCGTCCAGAGTCAAAGGTGCAGCGACTGTTCCCTTAGTTGTTCCGAAGAAGAAGACCCCGCTGACCATTCCACAGGTACGGTTTCTGGAGCATGTCGCAATTTCTGGAACAGGGCCCGAAGCAGTCTTCTGTGGATATGTTTGCATGATCCTACACATGAGACTGAGGTGGTCCGATGGGCAGTTTTGTCAAGCTGAGCCATTTACAGATTTGCATGATGGGAAGGGCTACCTGGAGTGTCAGTTATACCATCACAAGAATGCAGGGCGACAGAAACATGCGAAGAGGCTTTTGCCGGCAGCTTGCAATTTGCCAGGCCTCTCTGGAGTGGACTGGGCTACACCCTGGCTATGGCGACGGCGTGATCAAGGTCTGGCTGCAAGACCGGGATTACCGACCATGCCAGCCCCCCTCTCAGGAGGTGGCTGGGCTCAAATACCACTTGAGCCGAGTCAAGCAACGACATGGTTGCGTGAGGTTTTGAGGGGCTTGGCACCGATGGCAAACCCTATGGATATTGGGACGCATTCATTGAAGGCAACCTGGCTCAGTATCTTAGCAAAGGCTGGATGCGATGGGGACCTGAGACGATTGGCTGGGTATCATACAGACCCATCTGCAAAGATGGCACTGGAGTACAGCAGAGATGCACAGGCTCCTGTGCTGATGGCAATGGATGCAGCAGCAACAGCCATCGATCAAGGTCTTTTTGATCCAGACGTGTCCAGAGCTAAGCGTTGGCCTCGAAAGGGTTGCAACTCTTTACAAGCTGTCATGCAGTTTCTTGCAAACATTGATGCTGAAGATTTTTGGTATCAGAATCAGTGTCCAGCATTCGAACCTGACCTGAGTCAGACTGATGACATACAGGAAGGCATGGGCTTCGTTGGTACGCTGTCTGAACCCTATTCTCCTTCTCACTCTGATGGCAGTTGGTCTGGTGTTGAGTCAATTTCTTCCATCAGTGAATTGAGTGAGAAACCATTGCTTGGTAGGGATCTCGTTTCTTCGGACGAGGAGCGCGAGGCCGAAGTGGCCGCACCAATAGTAGGTGAGGAGCTTGCAGTGTCCTTAGAGCAAAACATAGATACTGAAGTGTTCAGGCATGTCTTCAGCGGTTGTTGCCACATTGCACGAAACGCCAACACTGACCCTGATGATGGCGATGCTATCCAGCTGAAGTGCGGAAAGCTGGCAACTAAGAATTTTGAGAAGGTGCGTTTGGCAGGCAATTTCCTGCCTTATAAATGTTCAAGGTGCTTCACTGACAGTTAAGGTTTTATTTCATTGAACTGTTCTTTGCATTTGCTTGAGTTCTTTGGTCAGAAGTGATTGTGAGCACTACTTGACTTTCACTGTTACTTGAGTGCAGCAGTTTAAGGCGTGCTTGGAACTCAGTTTATGCATGTTCATGTTCACAACATGTCAGTCATGTGATGTCAGTGTTTCAAATGTTGTAACTGTTTCATGTCACATGTCGAGAGTTGCATGCCCGGCAGAAGAGTCCCAGAGGGAGCTGCTCCAAGCATCCAGCGGTAGGCAGCGTGTCAGGTGCACAGAGCTCGGACAATGACAGTTACAACTTACATGTTTTGTTTCCTTCTCAAGTGTTTCAATCAGCCACTTCGCTTTCATTTCGAGTTTGCAGTGTGTGAAATTGTTTTTTTTTCAGAACTCACCATGCACAGAGCCCAGAGCCCAATACCTGGCAGAAGCGACAGTACAGAGCTGGGGTCTGGGGCCGAAAGGACGCCGTCTGCAAGTGTCACAAAAGAGTGCAACAGTCAGATCCGTTTCTGTAGTTGGTTCAGTGATTCGTCTTGCGATTTCCTTTGAATGCTTTTTTTTGTGGGTTGCATGGTAGTATGAACATTTCACTGAAAGCAGTCATGTTATGAGTCATGACATCCACATGCAAGCCATGACCATAGGGTCATGAACGAGCCATGCATGACGTTGCATGGACAGGCTCCAGAACAGAAAGCTGTTGCTGGAAGAGGAAAGACCTTGTGATTTGTTTTTCACTTAATGATTTATAGCCAGTTCAATTTTTATAGGAAATCGTTTTTCACAGGCACAAACGTCGGGAAGGGTTTCTGTAAAAGAAAACGTTTGCAGTTCATTGGTACTCACCGCTTCACTTTTGAACTTGTAGAGTGGTGGCGGCGACAGCCATGTCCCTAGTCGATAGCACTGCAGTTTTCGAAGCCAGAGCGACGAGCATTGGAGTCCCAGAAGATGTTCTGGCTGCGATGGCATTGAAAGGTTGGGTCAGTCATGGGACCTACGCATTTGCTGTTGCGACTCAACCGGGTGCTGACGAACAAGCCTTTTTGGATGGGGTCATTATCCCATTGTTGGGTGCGGCAGACCACATAGCTGCACCCAAGTTGCGTAGACTCTTTTTCGAGTCGCACACATTGACATCAGCAGAGCTTCGTCGACAAGTTGATGCTACAGAACAAGAAGCTCCTAGGAAGTTGCCTGCACCAGAGATAGCGCAGAGAATGGAACTGCTTCAGGCCCGAATCAGGCCATTGATTGTGGCCAACTTCATGGAGCCGTCGCATCATTTGATCAACTCCTTGGTTCAATGTGTGGAGGATGGCAGGGTCAGGTACATTGAGTGGTCGAGGTGCACCTCTCGAACCCAGGAAGTCAACAACATCAAGGAGGATGGTGACCTCAAGATTTGGAAGACTGACAGCACAGGAACTATCAAAGCCACTACAAAGGAACCATCAATTGTGGCGTCCCTGAACACCGAGTTGGACGTCCACAACGCTTTGAGGCGTCGAGGGGTCGCCTACGAGATTGCACAAGCAATGTCGTTTGAGGTGCACGAGGCCATCATCAACTACTTTTTCTTCGAGCTGAAAAAAGATCCTATGGAAGGATTTGGACAAGTGACCCTTCAACAAGTGGCTGCAGCCGATAGAGAGTTGCATGTGAGATTAGCAGAGGCCACGAGGGGAGGCTTCAAGACTGGACCTGCTGGTGAACTTCCGTTGGACATCCATGTGAAACAGATCTTAGATGGACCTGAGCTCAAATGGATGCTCATGCCATTGCCAAAGAGAGCAGCAGGGAAGCCCGCAACAGAGGGGCCAGCCAAACCCTCGAACGATGCAGATCCAAAAAGGAACAAAGCAGAACCGAACAAGACCAAGCAGGACTCGTTGAAGCTCAAGCGGCTGAAACGAACACCCATGCCAAAGAAGTTGGTCGGCTGTGTTCCGTGCAATGACGAAGGTCAGCCTCTGTGTTTTGCATTCAACCTTGGGACATGTGCAAGCAGTTCAGATTGCCCAAAGGGGCTCCACATGTGTTGCAAGAAAGGCTGCAACAAAAGGCATGCCTTTGTGACGGCACACAAGCAGGGTGCTTGACTATCAAGTGAGCTGATAGTAAACCAACCTAAGGTTTACACAAAGGATGAAGATCACCTTGTGGCTGCATCACGAAAGCGTGGCACAGCCGCTGTCAAAGTGGACGACAGTCGTCCGTGCGAACCGGTGGCGAAGCGAAAGCGCTTGGTCACGGGTTGCTCAGTTGCAGAAGTGCACAAAATTTCCAGTGGTGTTGGTGACAAAGAGTCAACACAATCACCTCCGAAGGAGCATGACCTTTTTGCGGAAGCAAGTTTTAAGGATGCAGAAGTGCAGTCTGGAAAACAGCTTTTTCTTTTAGATATATTTTGCGGAACAGCAGGTGTGACAGCAGCTTTTAGAGCGTGTGGTGGTGATGCACTTGGCATTGATCACATCATTGATAAGCGCAGAGTTAAGGGTCCTGTCTCAAAGGTCGATTTGACGAAGAAAGATGGACAGGAAACCATCATGGGATGGATCACATCCGGAAAAGTGGACGCTGTTATGCTTGCACCTCCCTGCGGCACAGCGTCGCGAGCCAGAGAAATACCGATACCAAAAAGACATCGCCTGCGTAAGGGCATGCAACCTTCCCCCTTGCGGTCAGAGCAGTTTCCAATGGGGTTGCCAAATCTGAAAGGCGTGGCCAAGCTCAAAGTTCAAGCTGCAAACCGTTTATACTCATTTGCAAGAAGGGTCATTAGTTTGTGCGTGGACCTGGACATCCCTGTCATTTGCGAGAACCCACGCCGGTCTTTGATGTGGAAGACCGATTATTTCAGTGACTTGCCATCAGTTTGCCGCTTTCAACACATCCACTCCTGCATGTACGGCGGCAAACGAAAGAAGAGGACTTCATTTCTTTTGAATTTCCATGCACAAAATTTGTTACTGGAATGTGATGACAAGCATCAACATTTGCCTTGGGGTCTTGTACAAGATGATGTTTCTTCTGAGATTAAGTTTTCGACCAGTCTAGAGACAGAATACCCTGCGGGGTTATGCAAGCAACTGGCATCAGCTTTTTTGGATAGAATGCTACAGCAGGGCAAAGATATTGCCCAAACACCACTCCAAATGGAACAAGCTCAGCGCATGGGTTCAGGCTTGCAACCACGTGGAGGACGTGCACCACTTCTTTTGGGAGACTTCAAGTTTAAAATTGATGTGACCTCCGAGAATGTGGACATTCCTTCCCAAATCAGTGAATCAGTGCACCCTCCATTCCAGGGTATTCCTATCCATTCAAAGCTGATTTCTTCTCGATATGTGTCTGAAGTGGGGGATGAGGGCGAGAAGAGAACTCGGTCGATATCTACTTTTGGAGTTTTCAGGTCTCCTTTTGAATTTCTACACAGGGCATTGACCCTTGAACACCCTCTGGACAACCCTCACAATGTGGACAAATGCAATTTGAAAGCAATTTTATTTATAAGAGACCACAGTGCTTCAGAGGTTGTTCAGTTCAGAGCAAAGCAACTCAAGAAGTACACGTCACGGGCCGCTCAGTTGGGTGCGGAAGAACTTCAGTTTAAGAAGACGCTGGATGGTGACGTAGCAAGAGTTTTGGAAGGGAAGAGACTTTTACTTTTTAAGGAGATGGCAGTTGACGCCAATGTTGGCGATGAGACCCTGTTCCAGGAGTTAACGGAAGGATTCAGGTTGACTGGTGAGATGCCTCAATCAAAACAATTTCCTGCGAAGTTGAAACCAGCGTTGATTTCAGTTCAACAACTCAGAGAATCTTCCGTTTGGGCAAAGAAGATGATCCACTCCTCTTGCCGCAGGGTTGGTGCAGATCCTGAGATTGCGAAGGCGGTGTTCGAAGAGACGCAACAGCAACTGAAGGATGGATGGGTACGTGGTCCTTTTTCGGCCGCTGATTTGGATCTGAAATATAATGGATGTTGGGTGCCTTCCAAGCGTTTCGGAGTGCGGCAGGGAGGAAAAATTAGAGCAGTGGATGATTTTTCAGAATTTTTGATCAACGCATCGGTCACCTCTACAGAGAAACTGCAGTTGTTTGGTTTGGATGAGGTCGTCAACACTGCACGAACTTTTATTGGCTGCGATTTTCTTAGGGCTGATGACCTTTTGGAAAATTTGTGGTGTGACCCGGCCGTGCGTTTCTTTAAGGGCCCCTGGACTGACATCATGGGAAGAGCGCTGGATTTGAAGAGCGCTTACAAGCAATTAGCAAGGCATCCTGATGACAGTTGGGCATCAATTTTGGCAGTCTGGAATTTGGAGACTTCTACAGTGGAATATTACGAATCATGTGCACTGCCGTTTGGGTCAATTTGTGCCGTCATGGCATTCAACCGTATGGCACGTGCCCTCAGATTGATTTTATCTGAGCTTTTCTGCGTAGTCAACACGAATTTCTTTGATGATTTTTGCCAGCTTGAAAGAAATGAGCTGTGTGATTCAGCATGGCAGACCGCAGAGTTGGTTATGCGCCTTTTGGGATGGAGGATTTCAATGTCAGAAGACAAACGTGGTCCCTTTGCAAAGGAGTTCAATCTTCTTGGTGCTGTTATTGACCTGTCAGGTGCTATGCAAGGAGTTGTATCGGTACGCAACAAACCTTCCCGGATCTCTGATCTTCAAGAATTGGTCAACAACATTTGTAGTAGCCAGACAGTGGCCATCTCGACTCTTGAGACCCTCAAGGGTCGTCTCCTGTATGCCGCAGGGCATACTTTTGGAAGATGTACTCAGTTGGCAATTCAACTGATTTCTCGAGTGGCTCGTCGAGGCCCTTTAGTACTCCTTGACGAACAGCTGAAGCATGTCATTGTGAGAGCCATGCACTGTTTGGTCAACTCCAAGCCAAGGCGTGTGGAAGCATGGTCTGGAAGGGTTCCCATCCTTTTATTTACAGATGGTGCCTGTGAGAACGAAGGCGCACTGGTGACACACGGTGCAGTGTTATTTGACCCTGAGTCGAATTTGGCACTCATGTTTGGTGATGAGATCCCGCCTGAATGGACCTCAAAATGGAAGTCTGAAGGACGCAAACAGTTGATTTGTCAAGCTGAACTCTTCCCTGTGATCATCGCAAAGAATACTTGGAAAGACGCGCTGAAGGGACGTTCAATCCTTTGGTTCATCGATAACAACTCTTCTCTTGCGGCGATCATCAGATCGTACTCTCCTGTGCTCGACAACTTTGAGATGCTTGTGATTAATGCTCGTTTGGACACAGAACTTCAGTGCCTACATTGGTACTCCAGAGTACCATCCCGGTCCAATCTCAGTGACGACCCGTCACGACTTGTTTTCGAGGAACTTGAAAGACAAGGCTTTAAAAGATGCACACCATGCTACAATCTCACGAGCGGGTGAAATGGGGTGGTAAGGCGTGAGATATAAAGATGTCTTGCGCATAACACGAAAGCGTGCCGACTCCCCAATTACCTAAAGGTGAGAAAAAAGTTACAGAGTGATTTTTCAAGACGTCAGCTGTGCAATCACTTTCACGTTGTGCAATCCTCCGTGTCGACTTCACGTTTCTTTTATTTATATATATATATATACTTACTTGAGTGTTTGTATATATATATATATATAATTTGAGTTTTATTAATTTTGTTTTGTAAGCAACGCGCAATCAGGGACGCAAGCGTAAAGGTAGAGGTGAGCTTTGGTTTGATAAGCTGCGTCTCACTTTAGTGATGAGCCTTTATAAAACCTGCTCACAGGTGGGGAGCCACCGTCCTCTTCCTTACGCGTGCTGCGTCCTCTCCTCCGCGTTCTATGTCTAAGTTTCTGGAAGATTGACTTCTGAAACCTCCGTTTTAAACAACTTAAATCTTCTGTGGTTTGAAGTTGTTTTTGAAATGTGCGGTCTTGAACTTTGTAACATGTCCAATTTCAGTGTGCTGTGAATTTATTCATTTGGAATGTTATGACAAGTTGTTCACCGCGTTTTTCAAATTTCAAGGGAGGGTGGGTGGGATAAAAGTTCTCACTACCCGGAGTTCAACCCGCCCTCCCAACCCTCTCCGGGCGTGAGATATAAAGATGTCTTGCGCATAACACGAAAGCGTGCCGACTCCCCAATTACCTAAAGGTGAGGAAAAAAGTTACAGAGTGATTTTTCAAGACGTCAGCTGTGCAATCACTTTCACGTTGTGCAATCCTCCGTGTCGACTTCACGTTTCTTTTATTTATATATATATATACTTACTTGAGTGTTTGTATATATATATAATTTGAGTTTTATTAATTTTGTTTTGTAAGCAACGCGCAATCAGGGACGCAAGCGTAAAGGTAGAGGTGAGCTTTGGTTTGATAATTCATGAGATCGATGAGCCAGAAGAAGTTGTGATTTGGTTGGAGAGCGATTCAAGCTCCGCATTGCAACTTGTGAGATCCATGGATGTGGCACGACGTTCACGACACATTGAAATAAGATTGCATTGGTTACGAGAGCAGATGAGAGAGGGTTTGTTGAAATTGAGACACAGGAGTGGTGTTGAAAATCCAGCAGATCTTTTCGCTAAATGCTTGAGTGCCAAAGCTTTCTATAAACACCGTTATGCTCTTGGGATTGTGGTTCCAGATGGTTTAACAGCTGAGTTGGCAGAACTTCGTGAGCTGAGTGTGTTGCAGCAAGTGTTGACTCAGGGTTCTTCAATTGCGATTGTGGAACTGTGTTGTTCGGAACATTCGAACTTGAGAAAGGTCTGTGAAGTTTCGAAGGTCCCATACATTGGTGTAGTTGCTAAGGTGCAGAGTTCTGGAACGTTGAGTCGTGTAGCTGTTTGCATTCGACAGTGGAAGAACTCGTCATGTCCACCTTGGGTGCATATTCATGCATCGACTCCTTGTGGAAGTGGAAGTCCGCTTCGCAATTTCAATCCGGACTCAGTCACTGAAAAGGACCAGGAATGGGATGAGATCATCAACGCGATTGGTGGTTACTTCAAACATGCAGACTCATGTTCGTTTGAGCTTCCAGAACGAAATACCATTTGGTCCCGACCTGAGACAGTGAATCTTTTGCAGAGTTTTGACATGAGGCATGAGGCTTTGGTGAGGTTGTGCAAGACTGGATGCCAGAACAAGGATGGTATTCCGATTGGAAAGACATTGAAGTTTGTTTCCAATTCAGCTTGGTTTGCACTAAATCTTCACTCCAAACTTTCTACATGTACATGCCAGACTCATGCAGAACTTTATCAAATCAACTATACTGAAACAGCGTTTTACAACCGAAAGTTGGCAAGATACATTTTGATTGCGGTCAAACATGCTTCGAAGAAGAGTTGAATTTGCGTTTAAAAGGGGGACCCTGTGACAGAGAGAGAGACAGAAGTTGGATCCACGTTTCGTTTCATTTCGTTTCATTTCTGTTTGCACGTTGTTTTCAAACAAACGTTGCCAAAGACAAACAGGAGTTTTCACCATGTTCCATCTTGTGCAGAGTTTTGTTGCGCGATACTGTAAGATGCAGTGTGTTTGCGCAGCGCAGAACAATCGGAAAGGTTACTGATCCTATCACGACTGTGATGGCGGTTCGACACTTCGTTTCACGTTCTAGGTTGAATTGCTCCTAAGAGTTTAGCCACGGTCTAGTGCTTTTTCACTACCGGACGCGGTTTGGTTTGTAGCCATGGCCAAGTCTGGATGGACAGATGAAGATGAGAAGGCTTTGCTTGGTCTTCTTCAGAAGAAGTGGCACAGTGAGAATTCAGGGTCAGGCTATGCAGCCGGATCCAGTATTTTGACTCCTTTGGAGAGTCAAGGAGCAATGACAGATGGAAGCAAGCGACTTCGTGAGGCTCTGGATGATGATGAATTCGATGTGATTTCTTCGGCAGCTGAACCTTTGAATGCGCAGTTGCCTGTGATGCCTATCCCAATCTTTCCTGGGATCGCCGACAAGGTCCTTGATCAGCTTACTGCTGATTTGGTGCCTGAAGGTATGAGTTTTCGAGATTGGAGCAGAACGAAGTTTGCGTTTGGAAAGTTTGCCAATGAAGGCAAAACCTACCGTGAGGTATATGTCGATGATGAGATGGCCGGATATTGCAAATGGAGTATGTGTCACCTGGGAAACAAGAGTACAAGTCCAATTGCAAAGGATTGGTATTCTTTTCTCTGCGCATGCAAAGTTGTGGAGGACTCTGGAAAGGTTGGAAAGCCAAAGGGTTGCTTCACTGGAACTTCAGTGCAGAGGCAGCTGGGTGATTGAGAGTATCCTCATTGGTGCAAAGGCAAGGAAAGACTATGAGCTGGTTGTTCATTGGATGGTGGACACCGGGACAATTCGTACTATATGTATTGACCTGTCGAGTTTGAGCGATATGTGCTGAATTCTGGATGGGTTACAGCGTATACCTATGGAATGGAGTTCATCTCAAAAGGGGGTGTGGAAATTGTGTGACATCTGTGGTGAGATGAATCCATTGGTCTTTTCTGCATTGGAAGAAGTGAATTTGGTTTTCACCTTGATGGTGAGCTCAACCGTGATGGTTGACATCGTATTTGCACGTTTCATGTTTTGCACGTTTTATTGGAGATGACGAAACCCAACAACGATATACTTTTCGTCTTCTTTGAGTACTTTGATTGCACGGAGAACATCGTGAGGATTTGAATTTGTATAGTGACATGGAAAATCAAACCATTTTCCATATGTTTTGCTTTAGTTTTTGCCGGCAGAACGATGGCAGAATCATCGCAGAATGATCGCAGAAGTACACGAAGGAATCGTGAGAAGATCGTAGAATTCATTTTGTGACTTCGGAAGAAGGAACTTTGTTTGACATTGATCGGAGAAGTTTAGTTTGTTTTGTCTCTCAATGATGATAGCGAGAGCAACGTTCTGAAAGGCATTCAGAACTGGAGTTGCTAACAGATCTGAGGGAGACATCATGAATCATGTTTTGGTGCTTGAAATGTTTCAACGTTTTTCAAACACTCAAACTTATTTAAACAAACAAACCATGCCTTGATGTAAAGACTTTTTGTGAGGACATGTGTTTTTGATCGCTTTTGTGAGAGTTAGCAGAAAGATGCTGACTGGCGACTCCGCATCATTTTTGTGTCAAGGCGTGACACACCAACAAGAACCATAGCGACATGAGCAAGACATTTCTCCTTGCTGCTTGTGTGTTTGGTAAAAGTGGCTGAGCTCTGGGAGTGGTTGACTTGGTTGCGTGGACGGTCTTAGTGAGTTAAGGACGACGTCCTGGACGCTGACCCAAGTAGGTTTCGAAGGTTGTGGTTACCTTCCGCATTCGGGGTGTCCTTTGTCCGGTGGCTCTGCATGGATGGTCGTGTCTATCCGAGAGGGGCGGTAGGTAGCCGGCCGAAGCCATGGACTAGATTGTGCTGCAGTGAGTCTCACTGGTGCTCCCTGTAGGACAGCCTAGGGCGCCCGCGAGCAGCACAAGACTGCCTACATGGTTCGTCAGTTAGTGGATGGAATGTGGTGATTCTGCAGTCTGCCTATTCTGTGGGTGAATAGCGTTACAGTGCATACTGCAAAGCACTGCAGGTCTTTCAGGGACGATGACACCCTGAAATGTCTTGAACAGTTCTGTGGTTTGCATGCTCAAGAACCTGCAATAATGAGAGCAACGTTGCCGAAGATAGCACTGGTCTGGCGGAACTAGCGTATCAGTCATGCCAATTTTCGGCTCTCTTTTGCTGTCCGAGTGTGGAGTCATCGCCTTGTTTGGCTTCATACCATCTGCACAACGATTTTTTTGATTGCATATTCCTCATCTTTGCGAGTATGCCTAGGGCCTAGGAGCTTCGCTGGCTGAGATCAATCACTTTGCAGGTTTGCATTCCTCCCCTATGAAACTAGGGGTCTGCACTACATTTGCGATGGCAGTATGGAAGTTTTTCACTGGCCTGCGAAGCTTCCCGTGCGCCATCACCGTCCGCCCCCCCTGCTGGGGGGGGTACCTGGCACTGTGACCACCACGGCTTTCTTGCTCACGGTTGATATACATGGTGACGACTCTGTCCATGGAGGCCTTCTGGACAAGCTGATCTGAGAGGACGCTGAGAGAGGCATAAATTGTAGCCCCGTGTTCATGTACAGTTTTGGCACATCTATGTCTGAGTAGACAGGCAAGCTGGCTAGGCTTTCATGTTTGCTTGAACGTCGTGGTCCTTAATTCATTTTTGTCGCATGTTTTTGAGGCTGATGCAGTGGTCAAGCCACTGTGTCCCTTGGCAAATCGATTTTGTGGGTGTTTTGTTTGGGCTCCGGCCCCTTTTTTGTTGTGTCTGGTTTGTTGTTGTTTGTTTTGCTGTTTCCTCTGGCGAAACGCAAGTCTGGCTGGGGGATTTGCGGGTCGTCGTGGTTTGGTGGTCTTGTGTGTTTTTGTTTTGTTT